CCCAAACCCAGTATCTCCTCAAATATCTTCATACATTTGCTCAAAAAAGTGCCGCCAACATGCACTGGGAAAAGTGCCCGGATGTAATATTTTGCAAGAGTTAAGGAAGAGCAGGCCTCGTGATTATTATAACATAAGGTATAATCCAAATAAAAATGGTGGTCTGCAAAGTATAGGAGATGGTGTCAGGTACCCTCTCAGATTGAACCCTTGGGTCCCAGACTATACATAAAAATGAACCGTTCCACGTATAGAGTTTTCTACTTTGAAACATTTCGCTGACTTTACTATCTATGACCATGTGATTTGATTCATGTCAATCATTAATGACAAACAATTTACTAAACCTTTAATATGTTAATGGTGCACATATATTCACAAACACATATGCATCATCAAACAGTATGAACTATACTCTCCAATATAGTAAGATAAATTATCAAATAACATATAAAATAGTTGTTTTCTGGCCGTGGTACATTTATCACTTCTACCGGTCACGCCACGATTGGCACATGATTTAGAGACAATTAGTTTTCTTTGCGTCATGAAGAAAAAAAAACAATGTTGACAAAACGCGTAATTTGGGGGTTAAATATTTGATTTTGTACAATGATTATTCAAGTTACTATTGTAAGTGATAATGGATGTCATTTTATTCCAGAAAAAACGTACATGGGCGTAGAATTGTGACACGCTTTTAAAGTCGGACACATACGCATTATCCAAATACAATTATAATCCAACATTATAGTCATATTTGCTGGCACTGAGAAAAATCTAACAGTGAATGTTGCCACGGGGAAAAAAACAATACAATAGTTTAATAATATTATCAATTTCATCGTATGCTTACATAATGCAATGACAGCTCCAACCCCAGAAATAATGTTTCCGTTTGAAATGGAAATCACAATTCGGTCAATTGAGACCAAAACGAAAATGTCGGTCATAGTAATTAGCCCGAGTATGACAGTTCAGCTGCTAGATATTAATTAGAGACGCGGTGGAACCAAAATTTGAAAAGTAAATCACTCCATCGGTTAGAAATCGGTGATGATGATAGCCAAGAGGCGAATAAATACATTTCAAAAACATATTTGTTATACAGGGATGGTTAACGAGGTAAATACCTTTTTGAGCGTATATAAATATTTGCATCTTGACAATACATTTTTCATAAATTAAAACCATATAGCAGCAAACATAGCAGTATTCGTTTGATGGTTTTAACTATACATAGAGGTACTTAAAAACTCGATACAAACATATTCTTTCTGTAATATTTCTTTTAAATAATATGATGACACGCCAAATTGTTATACATATTTGTTGTAGCGCCATCAGCGGCTGTGGTACTCTGGGTTTCCCGGAAGTGACCTCTCCATCAAACGCGAGTATACGAAGTTCAATACAATGGAGGTAAGTTTTAGTTCCCATGTTCTTCTTAGACTTGTCAGAAAATACGAGTTGTAAATAGTACAATGAACACTGTGAAGAAAGTCCATACTTCCTTTGCACAGGGAGGTAAAATATTTTTCGCATGTTGGGCTCAGACAATATGTTTGTGCAATGATTGTACGTATGGTATGTTGTCGTAATTTAAATACGATGACAGTGGCGTGTGTATTGTAGCCTTACTACGTGGCACAAACTTTAACTGTGTTTGTGAATGTAAGTCGGATCACGAACGTTCGTTCTGATTTCGTCACTTTTCAGCGTCTAGTTCCTCGTATGACTACTCATGTTTTGTTTTTTTTAATTGGTAAAATTATTCTAATTCCAAGGAGTTTCCCCAGAACTTATACATCTTTATTTAATTAATTGTTAGCGCAATTCTTGAAACCAAGTTTTTAAAAATATTTTAAACAATGTCTTTCCAATGACTGCCTTTGCAAAATCACATTATGAAATGTTGTCACCCGTACCAGCATTTAAGTTAAGAATGATATTATCTACTAGGATCCAATGATAAACAGTGTTCTAAAATGTTTCACCCTTACTAGTTTTATAAATACACACTTTATTATATGGCTTAACTTGATAACTTGAAATGTTGATATTTTTTTTTTCACTTTTGAACAGCTTTTACAATATTATGCCAATTGTTGGTGCTTTTTTACTGTGAAACTTTCATTTTATTAAAGTGAAAATGTAAAATGCTGTTATTTCCTGTAACCTGTATCAGCTATCCCCTTTTGCCCCTCTGAATATCAGTATAATCCTGTTTTCAATCTTGTAAACAATCTTGACTCACATTACAATGAGAAACCACACACAGAAACTGACATGAAAAAAGTTGTCCAGTTCTATATTTGCTTAACAGAAACACTTTGCTGTAGATTTGGTTTAAAGCAGGGGAGTTAGCACCTGTGCATGTAGAAGATGGCTTTAGTATGGCGTGTTGTTTCAAATTAAGCATCTACCCATGAGCCTTTGCATTTTAGTGGGTGTTGAGTGGACTAAATTCCTGCACATGCACAGGTGACAGAACATCTCTGCTTTAAAGTAAAGAGGTGAGTATTAATTAAGTGACACCTTTGACTCTGGTTGTGTAGAAAGTCAAAGGTGTCACATTTACAGCAATCACCTGAATAAACTGATCATGAAAATCTACCTTTGGAACATTGCAATATCATTTTCAAAGTTGTCAGTGGTGTTTGTTATGATTTCAGCACTTACAATTCAAACTAGTTGATGCTCCTGGATACAATATTCACAAGAGGTGTTTGTCGTAAAAAATTAGATAAGAAAATCATAATATGTGTCCATTGAAATCTGCCAGATATTAATTCAACAAAATCTGTATTGATCATGTAAGTGTTTCAGATTCAGGTTGAGAACTTGTATCTCTTATTAAGGAATGTCAAAAAGCTGTATGCAAATCAGGTTGCCAATTTCATATAAGGACTGCTGACTGATCAATCTGACTAACAGCATTGCTACTCTATTTATTAGTCCCCGTTCGGACGGAGTCCGAAAACGGGGACTTATGTTTTGCCCTGTGTGCGTGCGTCCGTGCGTCCGTGC